ACTCAAGATGTTATAAGTCAGTAAAATATATCTTTTCTCGAGTTGAAAGCGAAATACAGGTCGAATCTTATTCTTTACTAATACTCCTTGCGGATTCTCTCCTTCATTGTGACTTTAGAGATGTTCTCATATTTTTCAATGCCTAAATATCTGCATGTTTTGCCTTCCTCAAGGTCTTCAATCACAGGGTGCGTAAAACCATAATAATACTCTCTGTCGTTAACACTTTGTCTCTTCTCAACTTGACTTTTGCACATTTGTCCAACCATGTTCATGTCAAACCAGTCCATACAGATGTCATAACTGAATTCATTTATTACTGATACCTTTGAGAGAAAATCAATTTATCTCTGTCGTATTATTTACAATCATCCATGTAAAGAAATATGTCTATAGTATTTTATCACTATGGAGCGTCATACTGCGGCAATTGCGTAGATAGTGGCATCAACCAAAATCCAGCGATTGGTGATATGTCCGAGTGGGTTTGTCATATTTATCCTTAAATTGATATCACAATTATTTTAAGTTCAGCAGTTCATTTTTACAATGCAAAAATAGTATTGCGCTTTGCATTTTTATATAAACCCATTAACAATTTTGCAAATTGATTTCGTCGGTCATGACGTTATAAGAACGTAAAAAATCGCAATACTGTTGAGCTGATCTTGCAACATAGTTGATCGCATATCACGTTTTAGTCGACGCAATACCGAGAAACTTCGTTCATTTTTGAAATTTGACGTTTATGGAATATTTCTCTCACCTTAAATTTCGAGTGGGTATTTTACACACTCGGAAGTTTCCGTATGGGTATAACTACCCACCATACCCACATTGTCTACCGGATCTGGCATCAACCTACTTCAAAAGATACAAGGGGTTGAATCTCCTTGAAAAATCCTCTTATTCACCTGAATATTTTTTGTTTCTACTACTTACTGTCCGCTGTGTATAAGTAACCCGATATTTCAAAACTTCATACTAACTATACACAACTCAAAAGATAGAAGACGAAAGCAATAGATCTCCAGGGTCTTCAGTATCCAATCGTCGAAAGCCTTTTGGTAGTCAATCCAAACCATTCTTAATATTTTTGGTGAGGGGAGGTCGTGGATTGGACATATTTTGGATCACGTGAAAGTGTAACTGTATCCACCGAGTCCCAGTCATATTTTTTTCACATTTCGAAGGAACTTCATAAAAAGAGAAAGTTACGCAATCCTGCACAGAAAAAAACTAATTTCGGCAGAAAAACTATTTTTTCATTATTTACGATTGATTTTATTGTGATTAATATTATTTAATACGATTTCCTTGCAGACTTAGGAATCTTTACCACATCCTTTCTATTCAATTGGAAACGATTCTTCTATTAGTGTATGTACATTTTGTTAGGTATTTCTACTGTCAGTCGGAGTTGTTATTGCTGTTTTTTCTTAATGTGGAAGATGACGAATAAAAACTTAGCAAGTTAAGAAGATGGTTGAGTTTGTAAAGTTAAATGTGTTGAGGTAAAAGTGTGAAAGACGTTTACACATATAGAGAAAAAGATTCATGGCACCTTCCTTCATTTTATCTTCACTTTATGATATAGAAAAGAGCAGGCACGTGAATGCAATAGTGTAAACCAATTAGGGGATTCATGCATATTTTTAGCAATTCTCATGAGGCAGTTCATTTTAGGATTTTGCTTACATCCTTTTCCCACTAAACTTTTATGAAATACATTAATGTAGTCTGTATTCACTCACCTCGTTCTATTTACAAAAAACAATTGTATCCCTTTGCAACTGACATCGCTCATGCATCAAACGAATAATAACTTGCTGAATTATTACACTATTTTACTTCTATCCGTTTTTGCACTCGTCATCCAGGCGTGGATCCACAGAGAGGAAAATGAGGGAAATTTCCCCTCCTAAAACTTTTCAGTAACTATAAATTTTAACTTGTCCCGATACTTTCTAGCAAAAACATTTTCGTTTAAACATTAAAATGAATAAAATTGTATTGCAACATGAGCCCAGTTCAGTTTGCGTCATTCCACATAATCTGTAGTATAACACATTCGATTATTTTTAATAAAAAATTTCCCCTCCCAAAATTCGTTTCTGGATCCGCCCCTGCGTCATCATTTCAGTATTTTTTTCTTTGACAAATTCACACATTAATGCAAGTTCACTTATGAAGTATACGAGGATTTCTATCCCAATACGGCCTCATCAAGGAGAAATCCGGTTGGCTCCTTCGCACGGGATGGCAGTGTGGAGGCGCGGGGCCGACGCGGGAGACATAAATTGTGAAGGGCCCAGCAGGTGGCGCGGACAGCCCTTCCTCGCTCCCGCCCAAGCAGAGAAGGGCGGCTCCGACCTTTCCAATCTCATACCCGAGTCTTGTAAATCAAAATTCTGGGGTGTTTTCTGAGGGTGCGTAACGCTCAACATAAAATCTTGGGAGGTCGTAAATTCTACCGATGCCGGATGATCGGAGAAGGATACCTTGGTTCTGACGTACCGACGAAATTCCTTTCTTACTATCGATATTTATTCAACTAGGCATTTCCTGGTTGGAATATGGAAGCACTAGAATAACAGTATCATTTTATTAAGAATATTAGCTGAAAAAGAAAGAAATAGCACGCTTTTTCATCATTGGCAAACGATCAAACATGAAACAAACTGAGATCTACAAATATACATAAAATTATACCGTATTTAATGATAATCATATGTAAAAAATATACTACAATGTAACAATAAAAGAAATATGGATAGGAATTTCGCCTCAAAAACTTAGAATCTAACTTGTAAGCTTAGTGAAAATTCAATTAACAATGTAGATGGTTCAATAAATAACATAAACAAGTAATGTTGAGTTACAAATAATAATTTAATTATAATAAGAATAAGGTTAATATTAACCTTAAAGTTATTGTCTGCATGAAATTCCTTTAACTTGCTTTTGGTATCTAGTAAATAATAGTAAGTCCTGAAGGAATCAGTATAAATATCAACATATCTTTGTATTCCAAAGCTATGTCCATTGCATCTTTGATAGCTATACATTCTGCCGTGAAAATTGATACATACGGATGTAAGCTTCTAATAACATGAACATTGTGATCAGGACAGACACATGCAGTTGCAACTGCTTTTGCGTCCTTAACTTTACTTCCACCAGCGTAAATAGGCATAGCTTGTGGATTAAGTTTTGATTTTTTAAATAATTCATTAGGATTCTTTGCTTCTACTAACAATTCTCCATATTATTTATCCATATGTACATAGTACATCAATGAATCATAATTAAACGTACACAGTGGAAAATTTCTATCCACTGAAACTGTTTTATCTAGACATATAATGCGTTTCATATATTCTATAATACATGGTCATATTTTCTATGATCCATTGTAATATTTTAAAAATAATTTTGAATTCCTTCATTTGTAACTGAATTTTTTGAGTTGATGCTCTTAATTAATTATTTATTACCTATGTATTTTACATGATCCTCATTTCTCATTAATTTGGATTCAGCCAAAAGTACATTAGTAGAAGTGTTATTCCTGTATCCCAAGGCTAATTTAATTGCTGTGTATTGAAACATTTCTAATTTGAACTTCGAATTTTTATTTGTTTGGGGTAATAAACAAAACAGACATAATCTATTACAGATCTGACAAAGCTCTTATAAAAGTTCAGTAAAGTAACAGGTTCCGCTTCCCACAAGCGAATGTACCTCTAATAAAATTTATAATATTGTTCTACAACATTGTCCTTGTATATATCTTTAAGGTTTAAACGTTTTTCTTAAGTTAAATAGAAGACCTACTAAGCGAACAGAGTCAGCAGAATTTATTTTGTACCTCCAACACAGATATTAATTTCTCCTGGAAGAATGATTCTTTGATTAAAATGAATGAAAACGGCTTTGTAAGGTGAAAGCTCAAGCTCTAACTTAAGCCACTTTTACATTTTTTATAGTTTTAATTGCATTCACCATTATTTGTTTATCAATTTTAGTTTTCATGTACACAGCAATATTATCAGCAAATTGAGATACTTGAATGCACTCTGGAAGTTCATTCATTATTTTAGATATATAAAATATAAATAAAGTAGTAATTGAACCCCCCCCCCCTTGGGCCACACCGTTATAAACATTACGAGCTTCATTCCTCATCACGTTAGTGTACACTTATTTCTTACTGCTCAAAAATTTATAAAACATTACCATGAGTTCTGTGCATCCTATAACAGCTAGCATATCCATAAGTAAATCACTATGAACATTGTCCAATGTATCGCTTACATCAAAAAATGCAGCAAGTATATCTTCCTTTTGCATAAATGCAACTTCAACATATAAGTTCAGGGCAGTAATATTGTCACCACAAGACGAACCTTGTCTAAATACAGTTTGATTCTTTGTTGTTATATTATGTTTTTCTAACCACCACTTTACCCTTTCAGTTACCATGTTATCAAATAATTTACAAATGCATGATGTGGGAGCCAAAGGTCTTAGATTACCACTATTTGGCTAAGCAATGAACATAATTTTCCTTCCAACTACTTGGGTAATGTTTTTCTCCATACATTCCATTAAATATATCCAAGAGAATAAAGTGATATTTTACAGGTAAGGTAGTTAATAATTCATAAATAATACCATTTATGCCAGAAGTAAAGTTCTTATTCATTTTTGCTCTGCTAAATTCCACATAGTTGAAGGGATTATAAAAATGGGAGTATTTTGACATATAGGCAGAATACTAGGATTTGTAGGCACCCAAGGTAGGCACATTTTTATATTGCACTAACCAATTTTTTATTACTGTATATTTTCATGTGCATTATTTGTCTTAATTTCAACCTATTTATTTTTGAATATTTTAGCTTAATTTCAAGTATAAAATATATTAAAATTGATATTAATTATTTGTTCAAAATTTCTAAAAATTTCAATTTTTTCCATTTAAATACTTTTTTTAGCTCAAGCAAAATTTAATCCCTTAGGTAATTTCCCATTTTCTGTATGCTGCATTTCTTAACCTTTTCATTTTATCACACACTTCATCCCGCCAGGGCAAAGAATTTTGATAATTTTTAACTTTTTTGTAACCAGAGGAGTTTTGTCCTGAACTGCTTTTGTCAATGTCAACAAATATATTATATTTACCAGTAGCAGAGGTATTAACATATTTTGAGATACCAAATTGATAATACTTTTCTTGAATATATTTTCTCACTTTCTGCCA